CATGAGCCACCACGCCCAGCCACATTGATTAACATTTAAATTAAGTCAGCCTTGCACACCTGGAATAAATTTTACTTGCTCATTATGTATTATCTTTTAAAAACATATTATTGGGTTTGATTCACTAACATTATATTTAAAATTTTTGTATTAACACTTATGATGGATATAGGTCAGTAGTATTATATGCTTATAACATTTTTGGTTTTGATATTGGGGTAATGTTGGCATCATAGAATGAGCTGTGAAGTATTTTCTCCTTCTCAATTTTCTAGAAGACTTTGTGTAGGATTGGAATGATATCTTCCTTAAGTATGTCATAGAATTTGTCAGTGAAACCACTTGAGCAGCAAGAATTCTACCACTGAACCACCAATGCCTCTAAAGTGAAACCAGTTGGGCCCAAAGTTTTCTCTCTGGGAAAGTTTTAAACTGAATTTAATTTCTTTAATAGATATGAGGCAATTCAAGTTACCTATTTTTTCTTGAGTGAGCTTTGTTGGTTTTAAGGAATCTATCCACTTCGTCTAAGTTGTTAATTTGTTAACATAAATATGTTTCCAGTATTTCCTTATTATCCATTATAGAATATTTAGAAAATATAGAAAATATAGAAATATAGAAAATATAGAAAATCTGTGGAGTTGTCATTTCTGTCATTCCTGATATTGTTAATTTGTGTCTTCTCCTTTATTTCCCTCATTAGTCTGGAAAGAATCTTCTAAATTTTATTGAACTTCTCATAGAATCAGCTTTTGGTTTCACTGACCTTCTTTATTGTTTTTCTGTTTTCTATTTAATTAATTTCAGTTCTGATCTTTATTATTTCCTTTTCTCTATATACTTTGAACTTAATTTTTCCTTCTTTGGTGGAAAATAAAGTCATTGTTTTGAAACTTCTTCTCTTTGTATATGGTTATTTAGTGCTATAATTTCATCCTAAATAACTCCTTTAGTGACATCCCACAGATTTTGATATGCTATGCTTTCATTTTCAGTCATCCCATATATTCTGAATTTCCCTTTTGGTTTCTTCTTTCACCCATTGACTATTTATGAGTGTTCCACTTAGCCTTAAAATACTTGTGGTTTTCCAGAATTCTTTCATTATTGATTTCTAATTGCCTTCCATTGTGGTCAGTAAACATACTTTGTATGACTTGAATTCTTTTAAATTTACTGAGGTTCATTTTGAGGCTCAGGCTACATTCTATCTTGGTAAGTAGTCCAGGTACACTTGAAAAGAATGTTTATCCTTCTGTTGTTGGATGAAGTCATCTGTAAATGTCAATTAGATCAAGTTGGATGAAACTTCTGTTTAAAGCTTGTATATCCATTATGTTTTTCTTTCAATTATTAATAGAGGGCTATTGAAATCTCTGACTATAACTCATGTTAATTCAAATCAAGGAAAAGAAAGGCAGGTTTAGCTCATCAACCTGCACTGATGAATATGTGTGTGGGTAAGGGCATCACTCCCAGAAGTTACTTGAGTCTTGTTAAAAGTTGTTAGGCCCTTTAATCTGCCCAAGTAAATATGCTATATGAATAAAAAAGTGTTTGCTATGAAAACAGCTTCAAGGCAAATTTCCTTTCCATTCCATTCACTTCCTTTCAACCTTACTTTTTCCCTACATATAAAGCTTTATGCTGTATATAAATACCATATATTTTTGTATATATATTCTGGAGATATCACTGTTGCATAGTGATATAGCATTAGTGGTCTTATGTGTTTCACATTCTTTAATATTGTAACACAAAAATTGGCATATTCCTGAAAATGCTAAACAAGTATATAGAGAAAGACTGTCAAGTTTTTGAATGCATGAATTAAATAAATGTTTTAGGGATTACCTGCATTATAGTACATCTAGGGTTCAAGAGAATGGTGCACGCATGTCACAAAACTTGTTAGACGTAAAGTCTAATTTTCTATTTTGCATTCTACAGCTAACACAGATAATTGAGACATAATGGACAGCTACATCTTTTGTCTTTACGCACCTTTAAACATCTTGCTACTTTTGATATTTTGAATATCTGTTTTTAAAATGTAGTTTGAATACTCAATTGACAGATTTTTAAGCTTTTATGTCACTGCTTATTTCAGTTAAATCAGAGAGATTTCAGGAGAGTTACTGTTTATAGATTGTTAAAGATCCCTCAGGCAATGTCAAAGCTGTTGCATGTGGACAGTTTCTTGAATTATAGCACAGAAACTTTAATACCTACCTCAAGAATGATAGGGGTCTTAAATAGGCAGTCATATTTACTAAAGAAACCTAGAGTTTTCTTAGATTGCCAACCTTGGCAAGACAAGAAATGTCAGGGTGACAGGGTTTAAGTGGCTCTTTTCAGATATGTTACACTGATTCTCTATATTTAAGATATGAAACAGCCTTACAGGAGCTGTTTAATTAAGTGAAAGTAAGTCTAGTCCTTTTGGAACCGAATGGTTCAGTGAGCAAATATATATCAGCAAGTGAAGGAAGTGGGGAAGTTATTATGTGCTTCATAGACACGATGACACTTTATAACCCCATATCAGGGATCCTAAACAGTGATTGGTTGAGAAAATTATCAAACTGAGTTTAAATTTCGGCAACTACAAAATTGTCATGCAAAAATCCAGGACAGTGGGCCACTTTCAGTCTTCAAAGAGAAAGATAAGAAATTCTGGATTTTCAAAGTCCTTTTGAAGCCTTTTAAGGTAAGATGAAATATTCTTTTTACTCAGAACCAACTGATTCATTCAGAAAGAACTTTGAATTTCAAAGACAAAGCCAGTTTTATTTTAAGAAGCAAATGCCCCTTAATGATTAGATCGTTTGCTTCCTTTTTGGCTTGTCATATTGATAGTATGTATAAAAGATAACGGATAATTATGAGTTAAGGAAGAGATAGATTGGGAAAAAGAAAGACCTCATACTGAAAAATTGGCCAACTGAGGTGGAAATTTGATAATTAGTTATCTGGGCACTTTGATTGGTTTTGATAAAAATGAGATAACTGACATATCAAAAAATCCACCTTGGGCTTTCAAACAAGCCTTTAATTAGGTTTTGCTTTTCAGTATTTTATTACTTACTATCACTTATTATTGTCCCACATGAAATGAAATTTAGCAATCACTAGTGATGCCAAATCTAATTGCTAAATGAAATGAAGCTAAATCTCATTTCACGAGCAACAATAAATGAAATAATCTGAAGGAGGTTTGCAAAATTCTGAAGTCTCTGTTTCATGCTGAGAACACCTGGGCCATTTTTATAGTAGTCTTCGAAGTCATTCACCTGCCTTGGAAACGGTGATGAGCATCATGGAATTGTTCCGGAGTGGAGCTGAAAGAGAGACGTAGTGGTCAGATTTCTGGACTGTAGCTCAGAAATGGGACACACATCCCTCTGGCCTTGGCTGCACGTACCTTTCCAGGATGCTGTGGCTCTTCCAAATCACAGTGCAGATGGGCCTTCTGCGGAGCTATGTAATGATTAGGCTTGGGACTGCAAAGTACAGGATGACTGTGGCTTAGTAAACAGCTGGCCTTCAACCTCTGTGCCCAGAGCTCTGCATGATACTTGTCCTGGTGTCACCTCAGCCTCACTTGAATCTATGGCATTTCAGAAGGAGCTCTAGCTGTTCTTGGCTTTCTGTTGAACAGCTGTAAGAGTGAGCACTTTTTTCCCCCTGAGTAGCTCTGGAACTGTGTCATCTCTCCTGTGAGAAAACACCAATAATTCTCATGACAGTTGATATTCAGTGAAGTTTTATTATATTTTCACTATCACCATTAAATTCAATCAAAGCCATTTTATGACATGCAGCATTATAATCTATACATGCAGTGGGAGTTCATGAAATAGGAGTAAAACTCTCCTTTCTATAGTAATGACATCATTACATCAACTTCCAATATAAATTGAGTTTTTTACTCACACAGATTAAAAAATGTCTATTCCAACTTATCAGAAACATATTCTTAGACCATTTCTGAATTTGAATTCTAACAGGGATGAAGAATCATGATTTTAGAAGTCCCATATAATAATTGCTATCATTTGTTAGAAAATTGCAAAGTGCCTGAAGTAATGCTAGATATTGCTTATAGTCATAAATATTTATCAACAACATTCAGAAAATGTCTTTTTCTGTGCTTTGCATTGGAATACAATAATCACCAAGACACTCTCCTGGGTCTCAGGAGTTTACAGTAAATCAGGGCAACACATAAGTAACTAGGCAATTTTAAACAGTGCAATGTGTTACCAGTGAGATGTGCAAAACGACTTGGTATAAAAAGGAACGAGATACTAAATACCGTTTGAAGTGGAGTTAGAGAGGGCTTCTCAGAGATAATTTTACCAAACTTCAGGATAGTCCTGAGGTGCAGGTTTTGTTATTATTCCAGGTAGAGGGATAATAAACATACTTAAATTTCTCAAGCTTACATGGCAAGTAGCAAGGGGTAACATTTGAACCCAGGTCTCTGAATACAAACCCCAAATTCTTTCCGCTAGCGTAGGCTCCCTCATGTTAGTAATTTCTGCTCTTAAAGTCTAGTAGAGCTCAATTCTATGGATTTGGAGTAAGGATGACACGTGTTTTATCTTTTAAGCACAATTTCAGCAGAATTACTTAATACTTGATTAAAGCTATTCAGAAGAGAAAAATATGTTTTTACATCCAAGAATTGTGGAAGAACAAAGTTACAGCTATGCCCTTTGCACCTATATGGCTATTTTCCTTCATTGGCACAGGAAGAAAAAAATCTAGGAAGCTACATTAGTGCTAAGCCTGGTGATGTCCCCATAACCACACCAGGTATGTTCTGGAACATCATATGTCTTCTCATGTTAGATACATGCTTCTTGCCCAGGAAAAGGGCAATGCTTACACATCAAAATAATATAGGATTATGATTATCACTTTTACTTTATAAGTAATTTTGTGCTGTTCCTTTTTTATACAGCCATTGGTTATTATTATTCCTAAAGAAAATGAAGATAATTGCATATTTTTGCATTTGGGCAGTAGCATGGACCATTCCAGTAAGTATGCCTTTCTCAGAAAACCTCTACACTTTGTTATCTCTTTTAACCTAACATTAATACAAAATGTTGTGTGTGTGTGTCTGTGCATGCACGTGTGTGTGTATATGTGTGTGTATATATACTTTTCCTTAATTTTTTAACAGACTGAGTCTAAACATTTAGATTTGCACTAAGGGCTTTATGCGATGTCTGTGAGGTTTCAACCAAACCACTCCAGCTCATTGTCTCTTTCCTTTATAGAAATTCACATCTTGCCTGAAGGATTATTATTATTTAAAACATTTATTCAGATTAATTTACACTTAGTGCCCAGAAGTCATGGAGACTTTGTCCATCTTTGCTTCATACTCTGTGAATTTCATTCTAATATGAACAAAGTCTGTGCTGTTTAGGAAGTTTCCAAGAAAGAATAATAAGAAAAAGTAGATTTTTTTCAACATATAGGAAACTAATGTTTCACTCAGAGTTATTATTTATGTGCTCACTTTGGAAAATTTGGAATATATGATAAATACCAATAAAAAATTGAGAAAATTCAACCATTTGTAATTTAGTAGCCAGCCATCATGTTTAACATTTTCATATGCTTTCATAATACCAAACATTTGGTATTTATGTAGTTGAAAATGTTCTCAAGTATTTCAAATGTGCTGTTGCAGAGCACAGAAGTATAACAGCATAATACTTGATTTTGCTTCTGTGCAGGCTCTGGTCATGCCTCCTGTTCTCTTAAGAGTTTTGGTCAGGATTACACTTAGAGCAGGTCTTGTGCTAGTGCAAGAGACTTGTTGTGCAAAAACACCAGAGGTCTATCCCCTTGTCTTTCTACAAGACTCTTTCCTTCTATAGTTGAGATAAGTGGGCTGATCTAACATATCCATAAAGTTGGTAATACCGCAGTGAAAAACATCCATGTGCCCAGTTTAAATTCTACACAAGCCCTGTAAGAAGCCACTTCCCTTTTGTATCTGATTAGATCATACTTTGGCCTTTGTGTTAAACCTTTCTTCTTCATTGAGGAAAGAATGTGTGTGTGTGTTTGTGTGTGTGTGTGTGTGTGCGCGCGCATGCATGCTCATGCACATATTCCCAAAAAGAACCTTTTCAATAGCCAATATTTTCTATTTGGCAGGTTCCTCAAAGCAAACCACTGGAGAGGCATGTCGAAAAGTCCATGAATTTGCATCTCCTAGCAAGATCAAACGTGTCAGAACAGGTATAGGATGTAATATATTTCTTTTTTTTCCTATTTCTGAGTTTCTACATTCCATTAATTTCCCCAACATTGCAATTTGCTTTCCTTCAAGATCATTGATACTTATAATTGATTGAATGTTTCTTTTTCAGGATAAGTTAAATGTCAGTGGAACCATCAAAGAAAGTGGTGTCCCCGTGTGTGAAGGTGATAAAGGAAGGCAAGAGAATACCCAAGATGGTCACAAGGGAGAAGGGAATGGCTCTGAGTGGGCAGAAGTAGGAGGGAAGAGTTTTTCTACATATTCCACATTAGCAAACGAAGAGGGGAATATTGAGGGCTGGAATGGGGACACAGGAAAAGCAGAAACATATGATCATGATGGAATACACGGGAAAGAAGAAAACACCACAGCAAATGGCATCCAAGGACAAGTAAGCATCATTGACAATGCCGGAACCACAAACAGAAGCAACACTAATGGAAATACTGATAAGAATACCCCAAATGGGGATGTTGGAGATGCAGGTGGCAATGAAGATGTCACTGTTGTCCAAGAAGATGGACCCCAAGTAGCTGGAAGCAATAACAGTACAGACAATGAGGATGAAATAATTGAGAATTCCTGTGGAAATGAGGGTAATACAAGTGAAATAACACCTCAGATCAACAGCAACAGAAATGGGACTAAGGAGGCTGAGGTAACACCCAGCACTAGAGAAGATGCAGGCCTGGATAATTCCGATGGGAGTCCTAGTGGGAATGGAGCAGATGAGGATGAAGACAAGGGTTCTGGTGATGATGAAGATGAGGAAACAGGGAATGGAAAAGACAGTAATGATAACAGCAAGGGACAGGAGGGCCAGGATGGCCAGGACCACGGGAAAGAAGATGATCATGATAGTAGCACAGGTCAAAATTCGGAGAGTAATGAAGATTATGACCCTGAAGGCAAAGAAGCTCCCCATAATGACGCTGATGGAGACAACACCTCCAAGAGTGAGGAGAATTCTGCTGGTATTCTGGAAGACAATCTCAGCCAAAGAATGGAGGACACCCAGAAACTCAACCACAGAGAAAGCAAAGGTGTAGAAAACGGAATCACCAAAGAATCAGAGCCACACGCTGTTGGGAAGAGCCAAGATAAGGTTAGTTTGTAAAGCTGATTTCTTTCAATGGCAATTTAAATTCTTCCCCTCTAACTATTGATGCTAGCACAAAAATAAACCATGACAAGCATCCATGTATTTTTGCATCCATATTACTTGACTATTTAAGGAAAAGCTAGAGTCCTTACTAGACTTCCATATAGAACAACTTTAAAAATCATACATTTCTGAGAACGTAGTTACAATTCTAGAAAAGTCTTATGTGAAATCATGGATCCCCCATGTAATTGTTTACAAAAGTTCCTGGGTAGGAATGTGGATGAACTTTTAAGGAATCTAAACACCAGGGTGCTTTCAATTACAGAATAAAGCACATTTTCACAAATAACTGTGAAGTATTAGAAGTGGAACTCCTATCCCTGTGGCAACTTTTCCCAGTTATTCTTCCTCAGATCAATGCAATTTTGCAGCAAGTATTCACTAGTTAATCATTCTTTCCTCCATCCTTCCATAGGGAATAGAAATCAAAGGTCCTAGCGGTGGCAACAGAAATATTACCAAAGAAGTTGGGAAAGTCAATGAAGATAAAGAGGATAAAGGACAACATGGAATGATCTTGGGCAAAGGAAATGTCAAGACACAAGGAGAGGTTGACAACATAGAAGGACCTGGCCAAAAACCAGAACCAGGAAATAAAGTTGGACACAGCAACACAGGTAGTGACAGCAATAGTGATGGATATGACAGTTATGATTTTGATGATAAGTCCATGCAAGGAGATGATCCCAATAGCAGTGACGAATCTAATGGCAATGATGATGCTAATTCAGAAAGTGACAATGACAGCAGTAGTCGAGGAGATGCTTCTTATAACTCTGATGAATCAAAAGATAATGGCAATGGCAGTCACTCAAAAGGAGAAGAAGATGATGACAATGATAGTACATCAGACACTAATAATAGTGACAGTAATGGCAATGGTAACAATGGCAATGATGACAATGACAAATCTGACGGTGGCAAAGGTAAATCAGATAGCAGTGACAGCAGTGATAGTAGTGACAGTGATAGTAGTGATAGCAGCAATAGCAGTGATAGTAGTGACAGCAGTGACAGTGACAGCAGTGATAGCAACAGTAGCAGTGATAGTAGTGACAGCAGTGACAGTGACAGCAGTGATAGCAACAGTATGCGGTGATAGTAGTGACAGCGGTGACAGTGACAGCAGTGATAGCAACGGTAGCGGTGATAGTAGTGACATGGTGACGGTGACGGCAGTGATAGCAACAGTAGCAGTGATAGTGGTGACAACAGTGACAGTGACAGCAGTGATAGCAACTTATTAGCAGTGACAGTAGTGACAGCAGTGATAGCAGTGATAGTAGTGATAGTAGTGACAGCATTGACCAGTGACAGCGGTGATAGCAGTGACAGTGATAGTAGTGATAGCAGCAATAGCAGTGACAGTAGTGATAGCAATAGCAGTGACAGTAGTGGTGATAGCAGTGACAGTGATAGTAGTGATAGCAGCAATAGCAGTGACAGTAGTGATAGCAATAGCAGTGACAGTAGTGACAGCAGTGATAGCAGCAACAGTAGTGATAGTAGTGACAGCAGCAACAGTGACAGTAGTGATAGTAGTGACAACAGCGACAGCAAGTCAGACAGCAGCAAATCAGACAGCAGTGATAGTGACAGTAAGTCAGACAGCAGTGACAGCAACAGCAGTGACAGTAGTGACAATAGTGATAGCAGTGACAGCAGCAATAGCAGTGACAGCAGTGATAGTGAGAGCAGCAGTAGCAGTGACAGCAGCAACAGCAGTGATAGTAGTGACAGTAGTGACAGCAGCAATAGTAGTGACAGCAGCAACAGCAGTGACAGTAGTGATAGTAGTGACAGCAGTGATAGTAGTGACAATAGCAATAGCAGTGACAGCAGTGATAGCAGTGACAGCAGCGATAGCAGTGACAGTAGTGACAGTAGCAATAGTAGTGACAGGTAAGCAATGGCAGTGACAGCAGCGATAGTAGTGACAGCTTACTTAATAACAATAACACTCAACATCTCCTATTAACAAATAATAACAATGTAATAAATGAAAGTAACCGGCGGTAGCGGTGACGGCATTAGCAGTGACTGGCAAGCGATAGTAGTGACAGCAGCAATAGCAGTGACAGCAGCGATAGTAGGTAAGCGATAGCAGTGACGGCAGTGATAGCAGTGACGAGTAGTGACGAGTGGCAATAGTAGTGACGGCAATAGCAGTGACAGCAGTGATAGCAGTGACAGCAGCAATAGTAGCAACAGCAGCGATAGCAGCGACAGCAGCGATAGCAGTGACAGCAGCGATAGCAGTGACAGCAGCAACAGCAGTGATAGCAGCGACAGCAGTAACAGCAGTGATAGTAGTGACAGCAGCAACAGCAGTGACAGCAGTGATAGCAGCAATAGCAGCAATAGCAGTGACAGGGTGACGGCAGTGATAGTGGCGACAGCAGTGGCAGCGGGCGATAGTAACGGTGACAGCAGTGACAGCAGTGATCGCAGCGACAGCGGTAAGTAGTGACTTGATGATAGCAGTGACAGCAGCGATAGCAGTAACTTAGCAGTGACAGTAGTGACAGCAGTGATAGCAGTGACAGCAGTAATAACCCAGTGACAGCAGCAGTGACCTTGCGATAGTAGTGACAGCAGTGACAGCAGTGACAGCAGTGATAGCGATAGCAGTGATAGCAGTGACAGCAGCGACAGCAGTGATAGCAGTGACAGCAGCAACAGCGACAGCAGTGATAGCAGTGACGGCAGCGAAGCAGTGACGGCAGTGATAGTGACGGCAGCGAAAGCAGTGAGGCAGCGGTGATAGCAGTGACGGCAGTGCGGCCCGGTGACAGCGGTATTGGTGACGGCGAGCAGCAGTGACGGCAGTGATAGCAGTGACGGCAGCAGTGTATTGGCAGTGACAGCAATAGCAGTGACAGCAGTGATAGTGGCGGCAACAGCAGTGCCCCGGTGACGCAGCAATAGCAGTGACAGCAGCAACGCTTGGCGACAGCAGTAATGCCAGTGACAGCACATCTGACGGCAGTGATGAGAGTGACAACCAGGCCAAGTCTGGTAATGCAGTAGCAACAATGGAAGTGACAGTGACAGTGAAGGCAGTGACAGTAACCACTCCTTGGTGATGATTAGAACAAAGAAAACCCGCAAGATTCCACTTTGTGAAAAGTTTGGTGATGGGATAGGAAAAAAGATTTCCAAGAAAGTAAAAAGGGGAAAAATAAACAGAAGACATATGTAAGCATCACAAAAAACAAGTAGGGAATCCAAATCAAACAGTTGGATGGGGCAAGGCTAACAGCAGTGACAGCAGTGATAGCAGTGACAGCAGCAATAGCAGTGACAGCAGTGATAGTGACGGCAGCAACAGCAGTGCTAGCAGTGACAGCAGCAATAGCAGTGACAGCAGCAACAGCAGCGACAGCAGTGATAGCAGTGACAGCACATCTGACAGCAGTGATGAGAGTGACAACCAGAGCAAGTCTGGTAATGGTAACAACAATGGAAGTGACAGTGACAGTGAAGGCAGTGACAGTAACCACTCAACCAGTGATGATTAGAACAAAAGAAAACCCATAAGATTCCCTTTGTGAAAAGTTTGGTGATGGGATAGGAAAAAAAGATTTCCAAGAAAGTAAAGAAAGGGAAGAAATAAACAGAAGACATATGTAAACATCCACAAAAACAAGTAGGGGAATCAAATCAAACAGTTGGATGCAGAACCAAGGCCTAACTCCTGCAGAGAGAGACTCTGAATGCATGACCTTTGGTACATGCCTGTTAATACTCATGTTCTGAAAATATTTTGTTAAAAGTGTAAGTCTAAACAAAAAAGAACAATTAAAATATTCTTTAATACTTCACGCAGAAACCTCAAGTAATCACTACATGATAACTTTAAGTGCCATGTGCTGCAGAGAATGTAGCAGGCAGACACATCTTAAAAGCAACCTGTGGCATTGCCTTAAGTCTCCATAGTTATGTATTCTGGAGAGGCGGTCTGCTTACTGCTGAGTAAAAGATGCTGTACTGTGATAGCCAACTTGGCTTTGGATTCAGTTGCTTGTTCTATGGAAGAAATACATTTATTTCTTACATGAAAAAAAAAATTGCAGCTACTATTCAACCTACCTGGGCTATGGGAATAATCTTTCTAATGATCAAATAGAGTAGTTATAAATCACAGAAATTCTAAAGAGTGCTAGTCAGAAAGAGCTCAGAGACGGGTTGATGTATAAAATCTGATCTGTAATCGGATGTATAGCATCTGACGTTAAAATCTGATGAAGAAAATACATCTCAACAAACCACTGGAAATTGAGTACAAAGTCCCTAAAAATATTGACAAAGCTGATGCAGTGCTTAGAACAGTGTCTTACTCCCAGGAACCACTCTCCAAATGTTAACCAGTAAATGACACATGAATGACTCTGGAGGGGCGTCACTTAGAAGCATGGTGGCTCACACCTGTAATCCCAGCACTTTGGGAGGCTGAAGTGGGTGGATCACAAGGTCGAGAGATTGAGACCGTCTTGGCTAACATGGTGAAACCCCGTCTCTACTAAAAATACAAATATTAGCTGGGAGTGGTGGCACGTGTCTCTAGTCCCAGCTACTTGAGAGACTGAAGCAGGAGAATCGCTTGAACCCGGGAGGCGGAGGTTGCAGTAAGCCAAGATCGTGCCACTGCACTCTAGCCTAGCGACAGAATGAGAGTCCATCTCAAAAAAAAAAAAAAAAAAAAAAAAAAAAGAAGAAGAAGAAGAACTGTGTTATGTGGTATCAATTATTTATCTTTACATCAGTCTCACCAAGTCATTCTTACTTCACACCTTGAAAACCTCAACACGCCAAAACTTCTGAACCAGACCCTGAGTCTGAGTCTCCCTTCCCACTATTAATCTCTTTAGTAAAGCGAAAGCTGGTGGGTAATGGTTTGGAAAACTTCTCTTTCTTATTTGAGAGTCATAAATGCAGTTACGATCTGAGTATGCCTCACTCAGCTTTGGCATGAATGAAGGTAATTCTTAGGCCCAAGATGAAGCCCAATTTCTAGAAAATGACAAACTTAAAGGTGTATAGAGAATAGAGATTGATATTTAATAGGGTGGAGATATAGTTTATCATCTAAACTAGGGCACTTTGAAGAATGAAAGGGGTGCTATGCATAATTATACGGAGACAGGAGATATAAATTGGGATTGTCCCAGGGAAACTGGGAGATACTATAACGCTAACCCACAAACCTTAAAGGTATTTTTCAAGATTCAGTAGTGATGCTTTGAAATCTCCATCTTTTTCCACTGAGGTAATTATTTTAGCTTTGCTCTAATGTAAAGCTGAAAATCTATAGAGTGAGAATATGAATGCAACTTCTTTAATGTTAATTTTCAACCAGTTGTTAGTTGACAATTTACTTTCTAATAGTAGGCATATTTTATGAAAAGAGTTTCAGGAGATTTATTTTTCTGTCTTCTTCCTCCTCTATGCAAGTGTCCTTTAGTTAAGAGATCAACATTGTGAGGAGTATTGTTGAAGACTTTAAAAATACTATTCATAAACTTCTCGGTAACTCTTAAGAGTGTAAAATGTCCAGGTTTGTACTACATCACAGTCATGTCATGACTCTAAACTTCTTTCCTTAGGATATGTTCTAGGTTTTTAATTTCTTTAGATTTTAGGGTTTTTTGTTTTGCTTTGTTTTGCTTTAATTTGTAAAGCATTGCTTCTAATACGTGTCACAACTATTTCAAAAGGTTGCTATGAACACTAAGTCAGGCAATGGACATGGAATTCTGTAAACTATATAAGATACGTAAATGAAGGAGATAAATCTCAGTGTTATCATAAATATCGATTTATTAAAGTAAATATCCATTTATTAAAATCAATATCCTTTTATACAATTGCTCACAAGGAAAATTTCCTTCATCCTAAAGAGTTTGCAAATACTCCCTCTATCACAAAATCTGATATATAATATTTCTTTTAAAAATTAACTCTTTTTAATTGAAAAAGTAATATATGTATATGCACAAAATAAAAAAAAATCAAACACCATAAAGAGGTATACGGAAGTATTATCTTAAATACTTCTACACTCCCAGCCCTCTATATCTCTTTGCTATTGCCTATAAGCAATTCCCATTATTAATATCTTGTGGACCCTCTGTGGAAGTCTACTATACACAATGCGTTCATCTTATTTTTTTCAATTTAACAAATACCTTAAATATTGGTTCACAGCACACAGATCAACTTCATTTTTCTTCACGGGTGTGCTTTATTTTATTTTATGAAGTGCCATAAGGTATTTGATCTGCCTTTATTGTTCCATCACTTTCTAAGCCATTTTCAGCCCAATAAAAGTCTCTGCAGACATTGCCTGCAGTAATAGCCTAAGCTGAATCAATTTCTAGCCAGTTCTTATAAAGACTTTGTCTTAAGAAATATTCAGGGGCAGGGGATGTTCAGAATCTAGGGTTGATATCAGAAATAACAAAGATATGATCTTGATTTTCTTATGTAATCACATCTGCATTGACTTCTGGACTTTCAGGGCAAGAATGGAGCAGACACACTACAAAAGAACACTGCAAAAGTAGATCCTTTGGACACAAGAAGTCTGGTGTTAGGAAACAAAGCTTATTTTGAGTTATTTTCTGGAATAAAGATGAATAGGTTGTCTGCTAATATTGCCCACAAGAAGAGTATTTGTTAAACTGCAGGTTGCCACTCATTTAGCAGATCAGATCAATTTACTGACTAATGATAAATATTTTATAAAACAAAAGAATAAAAAAGAAAAATCATAGTGTACCATCTGTACTGCTTTGTGAACCAGGATCATATCTATCTATAGATGTACACACACAAATATGTCTAAGTGTACGTATAGTAGGACCTGACGGAAAATGCCTTTCTTACTGCTGGTGGTAGTTTAAAAAAGTTTGAAAGCCACTGGTTTAGAAAATAATTACTGCTAGTAATCATTTTATATTTACTTTTTCACATTCTCTTTTTCCCTTAGAAACCTCTAAGTTTCTTTCCCACTTTGAAGCAGAGATTTTAAAGAAAGAAAGAAGGATGTATGTGTAGGGGGACAGGGAAGAGTGGCAGTGGAATGCGTTTCTAGATTTATCTGTACCTCAGTAAAAGAGCCAAGGAAACATTGTCACTCTTGAACAAGAGGCTATCAGGGTGGTGCTGGTGGATTTGTTAGAAATTCAAGATTACTCCACAGATGACTGAAGACAAGAACTGAAAACTTAGTCTCAGAGGTGGTCTTGTCCTCCCCATCTGACAGGAGAATTCTTTCTGCGTCGGCTCATACCACGAAACAGCAAATTGGTGACAGGTTTTGTTGTTGTTTAAAAAATACATTGTTTACATAAAAAGATAACCTTTATAAAGTTATACTTCACCATAGAAATACATTTAAAATTATTAACTGAAGTGTAAATTCCCAGAAGTCAAACTTGCTTTATGATTTGTAATGGAAGTTTTGAAAAATTTTAGACCGAAATAACCAGGAACAATTTTCCTCTCCCTAAAAGGAGCAGGAATAGAATAGAATAGTTTAGTCATAGATGAAAATATCGTTGTGTTCTCACAGTGATCCATTCACTGCTGCTTGGAAGCAAATCCTCTAGAGAATGAAACAAACCAACAACACAGTATTCCCATCCTCTATCCTCTGAACAGGGATCTGGGGTTCAGATGCTAAAAAAAAAGGAAAGAAAGTAAGAAAGAAAAAAGTCAATTCCTATGGGGCAGTCTTGCAGCTCAGAAAAATAGTGCAAAGTCTAAAGATCACCAGTACATGAGACTCAATCTGTTTTCCATGAGTTTGCCAGTTCCCACTCTAGCATGAAGCACTGACTTTATAGAGCTTGATGGTAAGGTACTTCCCTTATTTCCAAACTCATTATTTTGGGCTTTGTCACCTGCTCTACCCATCTCTCCTTTACTCTGTTTCCTTATTTTCCTGCCTAGTCTTTTTCTCTTCAAAGAGGTTAAGAAGGCTCTGTGGGGAGGAAACTCTTCGCCCCTTGCAGATTTTAATTCCCAGACATTTCCTTTTGTGAGAACCCAGACAAACCCCCGGGCCAGGGACTGCTGTGCTTGGGCTTATATCACGGGGCTTTTTGTATACTCCTGGATTTCAGTCTCAACCAGCTGGTTCCTACCTTCCTGGCACTTTCCTCAGTTGAAACCACTGAATCTTTCTTTGCTATTCTAACTCCATCTTCTTATTCTGAGACCAATCAGAATTGAAGGCAAGAGATACTCAGACTGCAACAGACTAACATGAAGGTACGGCATGATGGAACACTTACTTCTTGTCTTATCCTAACATCTTGATTCCAACAAGTAGACTTGGACCTTGTCCCAAAGCAACAATTCCCTTTGAGTGACCTGCTCTTCTAACTTGGCTTCTGTCTAGCTTCTTCATACTGTTCTAGTAAACAGATGAGAATTTCCCCAGCCCAATCAGCACACCAGGAGCAAAACTGTTATCTGATACAGTTGACTTTATGGATGCAATGCAATGAAGGTGACTGTGGACCACAGCAGAGATGGCTCAGCAAAGGAAAAGATAGAATTATTATAGGATTGCAGGAAAGAGTGGAA